AGGGCTTAGGGACGTTCGGACGGCGGAAATAGTGGCGAACGATCGGAGTTGCGCAGGATATGGCGACGAGGGAGGAAATGAACGTTCCGCACCAGGGCTCGGGAACCCGCGGCTCTCCGGGAAAACGCGAAAGATTTTATTTTATGTTCGCCGACGTCGCAAATGAATTTGGCTTGGTAAAATACGATATTGGTCGTTTTATTGTACCGCGGCGTGTTGGGTTTTTTTTTTTAACTTGACCGTCGCGGTTCATTGAAAATCACGGTTTGTAGTTTATTAAAAAAAAAAAAAGAAAAAAAACTGCTCGTTTACGCGAACACGTTCCCGACCTCTGGTCCACGGGAACTATACGGACCACGGGCGGTTTCTCGGTCCGAGTGATCGTCACCACTGTTCCTTTTGAACCGATTTGACAGTTTCAGACACGTAAAAGTCAGGATTTAATATCGAAATCGCGCGCTATTATTGTTTGCCGTTGGCGGCGTTTCGTATTGATTTGACGTCGCCGGTGGATTTTATAGAAATTGAAAAAGCTCCTGGACGGCGCCACCGACGGAGTGATCTATTTCAGTTTCGGGTCGAACATAAAGATGGCGAATTTGCCGGCGCGCGAGGTCAGAACGTTCGTCGAGTCTTTCCGGAAACTCCGGCAAACGGTGTTGTGGAAATGGGAGAACGGCACCATCGACGACCTCCCCGGGAACGTGTACGTCGACAAATGGTTTCCGCAGCAATACGTATTGGGTGAATACTAAGAGTGCACGCGTAATGTTATCGCCGGCTTAGCGCAAGAACTCGTTAGGGGTGAAAACGCCATTTTCGAGTAACGGCATTTCAACGAAAGTTTAAAGTGACATTTCAAAAACTTAACTTTGTAAAAACCGTTCGTATGATTTTGTTTGCCATTTTTTTTTTTTCCAATTTCGGATTGTAATCCAATACAAATTGTGGAATCGCGTGTACCCGTCTGAAATCGGCCGAATGCATTTTTAATTACTGTTTTTACGCGTTTACTATCACAATTATAAAATACGATTTGCAGTAAACTTGAAACAACGCGAACTAGTCGTTGTTCAGGGCTCAACGTACGGGGTAGAAATATTGATAATCATAAAAGCTCTCATGAAACTGCATGATGTGTTTTCGGTGCCTTTTAACAAATTGTTATAGATGCGATTGTGCGCTAGACGGCGTTATGAAAAAACAAAAATTAATATCGAAATTTCGCCGTTCTTGCCGTGGGCCGACGACAACCGTTATGCACGGACCGGGAGACACGTTTTACAATGACGGTCGATTCGTTCTGTTTAAGGCCACAAGAATTGTAAGCTGTTCATCACGCACGGTGGATACCACAGTCTGGTGGAAGCGTTGCACTACGGTCTGCCGGTTATCGGGTTCCCGTTTTACACCGATCAGTATTACAACATGAGGTTCGTGGCGGAAAAGGGATTCGGGATTCAGATTTTGCTCAACGATCTGCGTGAAAACGTTCTGGACGGCGCCATAAGAGACGTCCTGCACGACCCCAGGTATGCCGCAATAGTTTGAAAAAAAAAAACGGGGATTCCGGTCGGGCGCGGCCAAACGATTTGTTTTTGTTTTTTTTTTTTTTTTTTTTCGTTTTACCCGTGTACTGTACCCGCGCTGTTTCAGTTACAAGGAAAACGCCGCGACGGCTTCCGAGATCTTCACGGACGCGCCGACGTCCGCGCTGGACACCGCGGTCTACTGGACCGAATACGCGCTCAGAAACGGCCGCGGCGACCGCGGCTTTCTGCGGCCCTACGATTTGATTTGGTACCAATATTACGGTCTGGACGTCGTCGGGTTCGTCGCCGTCGTCTCGGCGTGCGCCGCGCTAGCGGTCCGCAAATCCGTCAAACGCCTGCGTCAATTGTCCGGCGGCGCAAACGGAACGCCGGATTGAAGGAACACAATTGGGTATTTCCGGCCGCATCGCGCTGTACGTTTCATTCGATAACCGTTGTTGTATTGTTTCCGTTAGAGTTTTTTTTTTTTCTTTTTTTGTTTGTTTTTTCATTTATTAAATTGCATAACACCTCGTGTTAATGCGACGACATAACGAATTCGTTGGGTTTATTTATTTATTTTTTTTTTTTTTTTCACAATCCGCAAATCGGTTTGTATCGCCGGGCCGAGATGCGCGCGGCAAGACCGACGGTAACGGACGTCCAATCGGCGAAAACGAAACGGATTCCCCGCGGTCGGCGCGACACGGTCGACGCCACAACTATAGTTGGACAAACGAATAATAAACCCTCGGTTCCTTTCAGCTCGAAGTCGACGTGTCAATATTCTTTTTTTTGTTTCGGCTTTCAATTCGCTCCCATCGTCAACAGTCAGCACCCCATCAGCGCACCGAACATTCAAAGTCCGCGACTCTAGATGCGGTCCGGTCCGGTCCGGTCTGGTTCACGGAAAAACCAACCGAGCGCGAAACTAAAACCTGATAACCTTTATCATCTATACATCCGGTACTGGGGGGCGCCGCTGTCCGCTCATACGGGGCAAGTCCGTAGCAGGTCAGTTCTCCGGGGAGAGCGGACCAAGTTAAACGGGAGGCATTTAAACGGAAAAATAAATAAAAAAAAAAACAACAATATGACTCTTTATTCTTATATTCTTTTTTCCGACATAACGATAAATTTGACAATAAAAATGTCATCTTCCGATAGAAATTCGTGGGGGAGCGAAGGGCGAATCGGAGGGACGATGCCCCCGTTCGCCGCCACCCCCTCTCATGTATACAGGCCTTCTGCGGGGTTTATCTAAGTCATTTTTATTATGTAGTCACGATACGGATAAAATTCTAATTATAATTGTACAACTATAATAATATATACAATAGGTATATGCACATTGTAAAATTGTCCGGTTATTGTAGTGAATTACATCAAATGATACATTTTATCAAATTGGACATTAAATACGAAAATTTAATTCGGGTGTTTATTGTTGATTGACAAAAAAAAAACCGAATTAATTTTCTCCTTGCCGAAAATTTCAGGCAAACACAAACGGCGATCGGTCTGTTGAGAAGTTGTCGAAAATCGGTTTAAGGCGCTTTTGTCACTAGGTAGTTTTTCCATTCTAAAATTCACCGGACACACAACCGATCTGAAAACTGTACAACTTTTAATAAAAATAACGATTTAAAAGCCGTGCTTCGGAACGTGCTTCACGCCGCGGGTAGGCCGCTGCATCAGGAGGAATGTTCGAAAGGCATTCGAGCGTGCCGCGTGGTAAAAATCGATGTTTGTTGTCGGTGTGACTTGAAAATACATCACGGATAGAGGAAATTCTACCGACAAAATATCACCGCGGTTTGACGGTGACCCCGCGCCGTAAAAAAAAAAAACTGTTATACCGCCGTACCGCTTTCCGTTATACGGGCGAGGCGCCGAAACGGGTTTTCGCATGTGTCGTGGCCACCGGCACGATAAATAATAATAATAAAAAAAATATTGAAAACCATCGACGACCTATAGCGCGCCTATCGTTTCCGGTTCGGTTCCGCCGACCGGGTTGCCCGAACGGAAAACGCCGTCCGGTCCCATTCCGTTACCGCAGTCTCGAAGAACCGCCCCGCGTCTACACGCGCGTTATTTCGGCGCCCCCGCCCCGCCGCGTAAACTGTACGTTTTTTAACACGGACGTCGGCATGCGCCGGTCGTGATTGAAAAACGCGTTTTTTTCGCGTGACAAGGCCCCGGCGTCGGGACAGTCACTTTCAGCACACTGTTATCGTGATTATCGTTTTACACGGGCGGTTACGTTTTTGTACGCGGCCGGTCGGATTTTCCCCGTCCGCGAACACTGCGCGCCGACGGGCGCCCGGCTGTATCGGCGCCCGTGTCGTTTCGGTCGCCGCGCGATGTTTTCGCACGGTTCGCGTCCGACGCGAGAAAATCCGCATTAGACGTAACGCAACCTCCGCCGGGGAACCCAACGTCGGTTGCGTCTCGTGCACGGAAAGCGCGGCGACGACGCACGGCCGGTTCCCCCGGAATCGACGGCGACGGCTGGGCTGTTTACATACAATTGTTTCGTTCGCGTTTTCGACGCCGCGTATGACTCCGGCGTGAAAGACAAAAGCGCCTGGTCGAGTCGACGTTTCAGACCGGACCGACTCGCCGTACTGCAATCCGTGTACAGCTCCAGGTGTCACGGCTGTCAGCACCGCCGTCGTTACGCGCGCAACCTCGTGGATATCGCCGTTCGCCACATTTTTCGGTTCGCATTGACCCGCGGGTTCAGTCCGTCCGTCATTTTATCCCGGAATTCCGCGCCGTACGGTCGCCGCTATACAGCGCTGTGCGTACGCGCGCGCCAGTATCGGTATACTGTAAACAAAAAGGACGGGCACACTTCGCGCGCGGCTGCAGTCACTTTTGTGGGTGGAAAGTTGGAAAGGTCGGACGGCACTTCAACGTACATCCGTGTGCAACGATAAACCGTTGCTAACGCAAAAACAATTCTGAGCGGAGTTCAATTGATAGTGTTGCTCTGTCGACAATATATGTGTCACATATTATGGTAAAAAGATTACAGCGATGTGCGTTTCCGCGATAACGAAGGTTGTTTGAAAAATATTTTCAATAATCAAATATCAATATCAAAAATCAATAAAAACCGCTGCCGATGACAACGTTATTTTTAATCTTTCAATCTTTTTTTAACCTAAATAACTAGGTTTTCCTCATTGTATCGAATATTAACGAGAATTACGAAAATTGACTTCTTTAACGTACCACCCGGAGAACATTTCCTTTCGGAAAAGGTGCTATACTTGATAATCGGAGTATTATTTTAAGTAGAAAAAGTGTTCACATTTAAAAAAAAAAAAAAAAAAAAAAAATAAACATCATTGTAAAACCAATAAATTCCTCACTCTACTCAAAATCTAATAGTGGTTCATTACAATAATTTTAGTAATGCCCCCCACCCCCTCCTTCCCAGTGAAATTGTCTGAATTTAACACCGCGTACCACAGTCGTATTGCGTATGAGGCCCGGCGATTTTCTATGCGTACAAAATCAATACGGACGGATGGTCGGAAAGTCGAGAGCGGCGACGGTCAAGAAGAGATGACACGAATGTGGAACGAGATCGGCCTTATAACACGGTGGAAATGAAGTCGGGGTGTCAATAGGATAGCGAATATAAGTGCTCTGCGGTCGTAATAATACGAGCGTTATGTTTTTAACCGGAGGCAGCAAACGGCTAAAAATTTGCATGCGTTTGACGCGTAGCTGATTCCGCGCCATAAAACGGCACTAGGGATTAAAAACCACGGAGCCGCTTTAATTGTCGTCCGCTATTTTAACTGGCGTGCAAGGAATGTCATAAAATTTCCTTTTTAAACACGCCGAAGGAAATTGAAAATTGTACAAAAAAATCTCCTATAAAGCCTCGGGTTGGAGCAATACTTTTATATGGGTAAAACCGACCATTGATCTTATCGGAATAAATGGTACGGAGTCGAAACGAAATCGAGGCTTGGCGGTCGTCGGCTATTCGACGGGCGTTTGATTTTCGGTACTCCCGATATTCGGAAAAACGCAAGCACCGGGCGAGTGTGTCGGGGGGAGGGATGATGGGGAGTGTGGTGAAGGCAATTGATTGAGAAGGACCGTAACGATAATCGATTATCGCGAATATAACGTATCGCGCGAGTGTAACGTACCTGTTTCGCTTTCTTTTTTTTTTTTTTAGTAGTCCTTTTTTTTTTTAGTTTGCTAGTAGCAGGATCTCGCGCGGCGGAGCGGTTCGCCCTTTACCCTTAAGCGGGTACTCANTCCTTTTTTTTTTTAGTTTGCTAGTAGCAGGATCCCGCGCGGCGGAGCGGTTCGCCCTTTACCCTTAAGCGGGTACTCATCGGCCGGTCTCGTCTTACGAACGCGCGATGCCGGTAATCGAGACACGCCTGCGCGGACTGCGCGGAACTCGCTGAATTTCGGTTTTACAGTTGAAACGCCCGTTACAAAACCAAAACGGAACGTCATTCCGGCGGGCGTCTCTCTCGGTTTTCTCCGGGTTACCGCGGTCGGTCGGTTTGCCGTTCATAAATAACGAATCTCTCGACGCGGCGCGTACGTTCTCAATTAGTTTCGTAATAGGCGTTTTTACTCAAACGCCAAGTGAGTTCTTCCGTGCGGCCAGCGCGGCCGCGTTTTTACCACATGTAATCTCGTGTTTTTGTTTTTGAAACGGAAACAACAGACGCGCGCGCGCGCGTGACGTCCTCGCCCGAAGACGTGCCTGCGGTGTCTCGGTCCCCGTGAAGTAGAAAAAAAAAAACAAAAAAAAAAAAACAGCGAGGAAACGCGGCTGCATGGTTTCGCCTGCCGACGTCGCTCCATCTCCGCGTCCCGCTCCGCGGCAACGACATTATTATTACGATTACGTATGCGTTTTCGGTGTGCGTAAAAATACACGACGCGCACCGGAGTCGCGGCCGCTGCCCAAAAACGATAACGACGACGATAATATTAATATTAATACGATAACATAATAATAATGTAAAGGTATGCAAGTATCGCAAGTTATTACGATATCGCCGCGAAACAATGAGACGCGTGCAACGAACCGACGGAAAAACATAAAAAAAAAATACACCAACGTAAATATAAAAAATACAGCCATATCGCGGAGGAATTCGACTTCGGCGAGCGTCTACGGGGGGAATCGTCGTCGTCAGCTTACGCCCGACGATTTATTGCGGTTTCGCGACTGTACGAGAGACCGCGAATATTTTCGATTTTTTTTTTTTTTTTTTTACTATATAGTTGCGCGTGCGGTAAAAATCCATATATAAAAAAAAAAAAAAAAAAACAATAATATAATAACGCAATAATATAACCTAATTCGTTTACGGCCGTATCACGTCCGCGGCGCGGTATGGAGACGATGAAAATGATTTCGCGACGTGATTTTTTCATTATTATTATTATTATTTTTTTTTTTTTTTTTCGATTATACGAACGTTAATTATTGTTTAATGACTATCGGCGGTTTATCGAACATTTTAGAAACTCACCGCGATAACGTTTTCGTTGTTTTTCTCCGGCGAAACGTGTCCGTTTCAAAATCGCACACGGACCGCCCGACGAGATACGCGTTCGACCGTTCGGCGTAACCGGTGGCGTGGCGTTTTTTTTCCCGCCGATCGACCTCCGGGGCGGCTGTCGGTCGTCGGGCGATTTTCCGTTTTCGCGGGTAGAGCCCGCGCTCCCCGAGACGTGACGTACTCGCCCGGGTTGCCCACTCGAAATCGGCCTCTTCCGCAGACGCGGCAAAGCGAATTCCCGCACGCACGTGCGACGACGGTCCGTTTCCGTGTGCGGCGCGGGCGCGNAATCGGCCTCTTCCGCAGACGCGGCAAAGCGAATTCCCGCGCGCGCGTGCGACGACGGTCCGTTTCCGTGTGCGGCGCGGGCGCGATTTATCATCGCCCGGCGCGCGTCGAAAACCGACGCAACGACGACGCGATATTCCGTTGCGTAACGCGCGCGCGGTTTCTTTTTCCCGTCTCGTCGGCGCGCGTCATTAATGCCGTTGTCGATCGCCCGCTCGTTTTTTGTGTTTTTTGTGTTTTTTTTTTTCGTCTTTACGTAATTTTCTAATCGCGCAACTCGGTGCGGACGCTGCGCGCCAACCGCGGGCCGCGTACCGTTGCCGTTGTCACGGTCGCGTCCGCGGCGAAGCCGCGACCCGGTTTTCAAAAAACCGGGCGACGCGCGGCGGCGTTTTCGCGGTCCCCGCGCGGTCGCGGGGGCACCGATGATAATAATTGCGAGATTTAGAACCGCCGGCGTGCGGTTACCGGCGCCGCGTTACGTTCGCGCGGAACGGCCGACGCAGCGGTGCGGGCAGACGCGCGCCGCCGGCGGCCGCGGGGAGGCGTTCTCTCGTCACGAGCAACGGAAATCGCGGGGGGTTTTTTCGCTCTGTTTCAAACACCGAATACCGTCGCTTTTTGTAAATCCGGCCCCGGAGTGATCGGTGGTTTTTTTTTTTTCGTTTCACCGTCACAAGCACGCGACGCGCGTACAGAATATTTTTTCTAAAGAAATTATATAATATCTGTTTTGAAACATTATGACGATAATTTCAATTCTCTTAGAGCCCCAGAGCCAATTCGTTCGCGTGATTTTTACAATTACCGAAATTGGAATAGGCCATTATAAGCGTAGAAAAAAAAAAATGAATAAATATTACGCGCAGTGCTTAATTTTTTTTTTTTTACCACCGCGTACAACTTGTGACGAAAATTGCGCAAAATGTTCAAACGTTTCTGCTCGGCCGCAAAACTCTATCGGAAACTATGTCAAACGCCCATAATAACAGCTCGGAAACGGCCCGGAACGTTTTAGAAAATTTAACCGCGTCTAGAAAAGGCGAAGATATTCTGTGTAATACGGAATTAATACGGAACAATGGGCATCGGCATAAAAAAAAAAAAACGGGACAAAAAGCGTTCTGAAGGAAGCGCGTCGGGACAACAGGACGCACAAAGCTGAAAATCGTATAACACGACGTAAAACGAATCATCCCGCGTAAAACGGGCCGCCGTATGATCACCCCGGCTCGGCGAGAACGCTGAACCCGGAATACCGTTTGATAACCGGAGGGTGCAGCCTATGATAATAATGACGCGTAGTGCGTGCGGTGTGCGCCCTGGGAATAAAAAAAAAAAAAAAAAACGCAGGACCGAAGAAGAATCTTGTTCGTTCGGCGGACATTGGATTTGGAGGGGATCGTCTGCTGCGGGCGGACAGGGACCCTTGTGCTTGGAAACGTACGCCACGGGAGCGGCCGGACGGCTCGACGCGGCGGCCCTGGCCGTCCCGCGAAAACATTTACGCGGGGCCATACCTAACCTGCGCGCGACCGTTGCGATCGAATTGATTTAGGGAAAAGTCATTGGGCACGCGTCCTACGCGTTTTCGGACGGGGACGGTGACGGTTATTGGTCGAAACGATTTCCGCTGAGAAAAATAACGTACGGGGAACGATCGTTCACCGTACGTTATTGTCGTTGATTTTCGGCGGAAAAAAAATAATAAAATTCTCAACACATTGACGGTACACCGGCCACCCGGGGTACGCGAGCGCGTCGGACAACGCATCGAATTCGGATCACGCGTCGCGCCCGGCCCGGGCGACATACGGCCCCCGGAGAAAACGGACGGACCCCTTCTTTCCCGCCGTGTCAGCGACGACAACAGCAGCGATAATTTCAATATTAGCAACGACAGTCAAGACGAACAACAATAATAATACACTCGCGAGTGGCGTTGTTGTTTCCGCATTTGACAACAATCGTTTTCGTCGTTATGGTGTCCTATAGGGAATACCGTGAGTGCGCGCCGCGCGTGCGTGTGCGCGTGCGTTACGGTCTTGTTCGTAAAGCCGCCGCCGCCGGTAATAACTTCGGCGGGCACTCGCCGCAATACGGACGCACCGCGCGGCCGACTCCCGCATCCGCCGTTGTTATCGTTACGCACGACGTTATGTTTAGACGTGGCCGAAAAAACAATCGCGTTCGGATATTATCGCGAGCAATTATTGTCGTGCGGCGTTTACGCGCGTTTCATGCGACAACAACAATAACGACAATAACAGCGCACGAGATTCGCCGGTGGCGCGCGCGCGTAGGAAACGGGCAGAAACGTCACGCGCAATTTCACGGGGTCGCAGTTTCCAGCACCGAGAGAGCCGCGCCGCGCCGTATCGACGGTACGCGACTACGGCCCGCGGCGGCGTAGAACTAGGGCTTTTACCGCTCCCGCGGCGAAATATTGTACAAAGGCCGGCGCCGGGGGAGAAAAAAAGGCCGTCACTTCACGTGTATACACTCGTGAGTCGGCTAGACAGAAATTATCGTGAAGTTTTCTTTTCTTTTTTTTTCTGTCTACGACTTTTCCACCAGCAATTTCCCGCCTACAACAGTGGCTGCACACGCACCCGTCCCAATTATCCTAGGACGGGTTTTTCTTTTCGTCGCGACCGAAGGCAACATCCGTGCGATGTTATTTGGGGAGGGGCGAGAAAACCATTTGCCTCCTTCCCCCACCCCCCATCATCAGAGAGCCGCCATAGGACCGGGTACGGGGGGTCGGTGTCTGGCTAGTTTTGAGCCGAAAACACGATTGATGGCGTTGCGTTTGTATGATTTGTGTTTCATACGGCCACTCTGAGCTACAGTTTTTCAAGGTTTCATTGTCGTAACAACCGTGATTAGCGTGATAATTGTATACAATATTCGTTTTATTGTACTTTTCGCTAACGTTAATTGCACTTTAGCTCAAATTTTACCGGGCTCTCATAAGAGCCCACGTAAATTTTTGAAGATTGTCCATTCTGATTTAATCTATTCCACATGATTATAGGTACCATAATGTTCACGGTGACGTGATTATAATTTATGTAAACACATGTATATACTCCAAACGTATTGGCGCCAATAGGACATAAATCGAGGTGGTAAATCCTCCTCAAACTAAACTTTCATACAGTACCTAATAGGTAATATATTTAGTTATCCTTCTATATATATATATATATATATATATATATGCATATTTATTATTAAGTCATTATTGTCCCCCCCCAAAAAAAAATGGATTATTCATGTCTGCAATAGTAAGTACGTGTCAGTACACGAATAAGTGTTAGAGAACGGTTTTTTTTTTTTTTATTATGGGCCGGTCAAAACTTTTGCTTACCCTCTCAAACACTGAAATGACGCCATTGGCGACACCGCGTAAAGTAAACGTATACATAGGTGTGTAATATTAGGGCCGCGTTGCACTAACGTTCTGTATTATTTACAGACCTGAAAACCACTGTAATTTACGAAACCAAATTCGTGTCCATAACTCCCTGCAAAACGATTTACAGATCAATACTGTCATTTTATCAACGTTATTATTGTCGACATTTCTGATAAATTTCTTTTAAATTTTACTTGTAGCCTATTGGTAAATTTTAAATGTAACTTTACTTAAATTTAGGATTTTTATCCTTCAATAATGATGGATTTATTATCGAGATGATCATATTACCGAGGCCAAGATATATCCGCGGAATAGACGGCTAATAACAAAATAATAAAATGAGTTTGTTTTTTTTTTTTTTTTTTTTTTGGCACAACGATGCGCCACAGTTTTATTACTTGTTGTTCAGGGCTAGGTTATCTACCCGAGTAAGATAACCGTGGGTTATCAAGTATAAATGGTTTGGTTTATCTGGCGGCCATTACTGTTACCATTAAATTTTAATTTACAGATTCAAAACAAATTTTTTTTCACAATACTTTTTCGTGTTATAGAGCCATAATAATACACAGGCTGCTATAAAATATTTTTACAGAACGTTGGTGGAATTCGGTCTAAGTATCGTAAACACGATAATCGTTCAATTCAAAAACCCCATAAACAACGAACAAACAGAAAAAAAAAAAATCTACTTCTTTCTGTTTAGTTGTCAGTTTGGAAGTGAGCGCACTGTTTACACCGGAAATCCCATCTAGAACCGGTTCCCTTGCAGCCTCTTTCCTATGGCCTTGAAATATTCGTTTACCGCTGAAACCCACTAAGCGGTCGTCGTATCAAGTATGTGTTTTTTTTTTCTTACCGATTATCTAAACCATCTCATCAGACTTTGGGGGTTTCTGAAACAGGCGATTAATTTAAAATGCGTTCATAAAAATATACTCAAGTCTTGTTATAACTTTACACAGGTAGGTAGTTGTTTTTTAATTATTTATATAGGCATCAAAATAGTTTGATTAATAATTATGAGGGGAAAATTTTAAAAAAAATAGTGAAACTTAAGGTTATTCACTGCAGGTCATTCACTCCCATAACCATGTACACAAATTATAAAATGTTTTTTCCTCCTCCCCCATCGATAAAAACTGACACCGGTGCCTGAAAGAGTGAGTAATGTTTTTGTATCATCCGGGAGCAAGCAGCTTTAAGAAGAAACAGTTTTAGAATCGTGTAGACAGTTTTTATTATCTCGAATGGTGAAAGAGCGGACTTAGCGGGCGTCTGAAACAAGCGATTAAATAAGGGGTCGATGAAAGCGGGGGCTAGACCACACACAACGTCAACTAGTATAGCCTGCAATTTTAACATTTTACCAATACAAACCTTATAATATATGTACTTACCTATTCGAATGTGTTCGAAAATTCATATAATTTTCCAGAACCGTTGATTACAGCTGCAATTTGATTCGATGTACATAGACGAGCGAGCTGGACAATCGTTAAACGAACATTGCGATTATGGGCGTCACTGCAATATGTTTAGCAATAATAGGTCTTGTTGATGATGGCTCGAGATTACCGTTTAAATTAATACGCGAATAGATTACTTAAACGCGGGCACAGTTTTATTTTTTTAAACCGTATATTTATAATTATCAATTCCTTTCGAAGCTTAATTTTTTTTTTTTTTTGCTGCCGCTGCTGGTATACGTATCGTGCAGAAAAAACAAAAAAAAAAAAACCCATTCAAGACGTGCAATTATAATTGTTACGTTTCATTACACGACCGAGCGCAATCGAGATCGGAACACAATTTTAATTTTAAAAAAAAAGCAGGCGAGCCGCTGATTTCGGTTGTCTGTACGCCGTCAGTACGATCCACGCACAGCCCGTGCTGCAGGACACGGCGTCGGTACAAGTAGGCCGCCCACTGATGGTGTACGGGGAAATTAATCGGGAAGATACGACGTAGCCATAGCAGGATAGAGGTAATTTAGTTTGCAATGTTGACTGGTAAAGTTAGGCGACTCTATTACATTCGTGTTCGACCTCTTTGTTTTACGCAATAAATAACATCGTAGACATCGAAAAGTGTTTCACTTTTGAGTTACAACTGAGAAACTCGAAAGAAAAAAAAAAAAAAAAAATTCCAAACTACAATTCAATATCATAATTGATAATCTTATATTATTTTTGATCGAGATTCGTAAATCATAATTGTACACGGCGGCCGCGTGTGTGTAACAGAGAACTTATTCAGCGCTCGGTTTCGTCTCGGCCTCGTCGTCGCTGGACAGCCGCTTGTCGTTGTTGCCCACCGGCACCCGGAGCTCCTTGCACGCTTCGAACACGGACGGGTCCACAGGACGCCATTTGACGGTCGGTATGTCTGGCCTGCGCCGGTGTTGCGGAAACCCTACGGCAGTAGTCGGTGTGACCGGTCGCCTGGGATTGCCGGTCTCTGTCCCGACGACCGATACGCAACAAGCAATAATATAATATAAGTCGTAAGAAGTATTAGCAGCGAGAATTTCAGTGAAAACAAACGCGGGAGGAGAAATAAGCGGAGATAGAGACCGAACACGGGGTGTTTGGCCGCGATTGAGGTACGACATGACGACCACCGCGGTGTACGGGATGTAGTCAGACCGGGTCAGATGGAAATTCGGAACGAATGGGCGGACGGCTCCGAGCGGTCGGTAAACGATGGCAAAGGAGAAGGAGAACATGGACACGGAATCCGGACGAGAACGCGGAACGGGAGGATTGAATGGCCGTGTGGCCGGAATGGAAAATAATCGTACAACCGCGAAAAATCGAAATCAAAATTCGTACTTGTTATCGGAGGTACTGCTGGGTTTCGTTTCGTTTTTTTTTTTTATTTATTTTCACCGGACACGGCCGCGGTATCGATAAAACGCCCCGCGAGTCGTACGCAACACGATTGCCCGGGAAAAAAAGGCACCCCCCCCCCACCCCGTTTGCCGCGAACTCGCTCGAAACCCGTGCGCACGCGCGCGCGACAGCGGACCGGGTGTATTTAACACGCGCCGCATCGCCGTGGCACCGGACGAGCTGCGGCAAATGCCGCGGCGCCCACGCGTCGATAAACGCGCTGCGTTGTTTACGGCGGCGATGCGACGACGGATTTATACTGGAAAAAACGCCCGTGAACGTGTGCGCGTCGAGGCGCGCGCGTGTCGCGAGAAAAGGGCGCCGGGTGCGTGCGTCTCGCGGTTAGACGGACAGAAAAATAATAACACTACGGCCCTCCCCCGCACACCGTTTTTCGCTGCGAAGACCCCGGGGACTTGTGTGCGCGGCGCGACGTTTGTTGTCACCGTCGTGACCTTTCCGCACCCGACGCGCTGTTGTTGTTCGCGGACAGATGCGATCCGAGCGCGCGGTCCGTTGTTATCGCGTTATTCGCAGTAAACGGCGCACGTTTCGTTCGTAAAATTACGAAACACACGCGCGCAGTGTGCAGACGGCTGCGATAATAATTGCGCGGAAAAAAACAAAAAAACTGTAGCTACGTTGCCGCGCCGAACGTTGTTATTAATTTTTTTTTTTTTTTGTTTTCTCATACCGCAATCTCGGGTCCGAGATCGACAAAAACGATAAAAAAAAAAAATCGATCGAGCGCACAACTCGTATGGAACGCGAACGAAAACGCGCGCAAAGAGATCGTTAAGTTAACGGAATGAATGCGCGCCTATACCGGGTGCCCCGGTACACCCGTATCACGTGTGTACGCGATATTCTAACGAGATAATAATAATAGCCGGTGATCGCGGATAAGGACGGGAAGATCGGCCGAGTTACGAACCCGCAATTTTACGCGGACGCGTACCCGTATAATAATATCCACTTGAAATACGGTTATACGATTTTCGTGAAAATCTTAAAACAACGTGAAGTGTGCCGCGGACGCGCGTTTTATGTACGACTCGTTCGCACCGGTTTCTCGTCGACCGTTTCCGAAAAAGATTTATGACGTTCGCTCTTGTAAGCACCGAGCGTCCACGTGCACGCGCGAAAAAGTGCTTTTACGTGCACGCTTGAGAAATACTGCGGGGATTTTTTTTTTTTTTTTTTATCGTTTAAAAACGATATTGCGAAATAAACGGGCCGGCAAGTCACTGACGGTGTTAGAAAGTAGGCCACTGTGTTTGGTGTATTATGACGTACACGTTTTCGTCGAGAGTTTATCTGAATTTTTTTTTTGTTTTTTGTAGAAAAACGGTTCGCACCGAGTAACGCACCGCCGCCCGGAAAATCGGCATCCTTCAACAGGCATGGTGGGGCGCATGGGGACTTGCGAGCGTATTTACGAGTCGACAAATAATGTTTTGCGCGGGGGGTAAAAACGCGTCGTAGTGAAACCATAATCCCTCAGAAAATACGTTTATATGCAAATAATGTTGCGGTGATTTAATAATATATACACGTACGAATAAAAAAAATAATATCGCCTACGGAGTTCGGATATCTTATCATCGACATATCAAATTACACTTTATGTATCGTAATCATCGTATTATACATGTATATGTATATATTTATTTGATTTTTTTTTTCTCTTTAACGCCGGGTGGTACTGACTGCTGAGTAGCTGACTTTCCCGATATTCTTTTGTTTGAGTATTTTTCCATTTTTACCGGTCAATTAAAATAAATAGTGCACGTACAACCGAAATACTAACGACTGCAAAAGGAATAAAAAAAAAAAAAAAAAGATGTCCGTGTATAGTTAAATATTTTTCCCGGTCCGAGCGTGAAAATAAAACGAAGACGTTTTATACTCGGGCATTATATTATGTACGGTAATGATAATCGTGAAGTGAATTCGTAAACAAATGAAGAGTCATAACGACTCGTCGAAGCGAATAAGCGCTACCTTGGGCTGATCTCGCGGTTCAAATCAAATTTACCATATCTAGGGCGAACATAATAACATTATATAATGTCTTAGTGTGACCAATGGTGCGGGTTCTTGATGCACGCGGGCCCAAGGGCTACAACGAAATCGGACGAAAGAGAAAAACGTCGAGAAAAATCGCCGGCCCGACAAGAAATAATGACCGTGTATCGAATCGATACGAAATAAGAAGTAACAACGAATGAGACGGCCCACGTGGCAAAGGCACCGGTAACGTGTGCAAAGGAGGGCGTTCGGAGTTCAATCCTCTCGCTTAAAAATACGACAATTATAAGTATTTATTTAGTAATTTTATCCGGAAATCCGGATGATATTTCAGTCGAGTTACAATGTAACTTTTTTTAAAAAAAAAGCTCGATTTATTGAATGCCGATTGGCTCTTTTGGATCAGACTTTTAAATTCTCACTGTCGCGTTAGGTATAACAAAATAATATTCTACGATTTATTACGTATTATTATTATTTACTAAATACCTCCGTATCATTGTAAATTCCAATACCTTAACTAATTTTTCACATATTTCAACGTACGTCTCTACACAATTTGTTTGGAACGGAACGCATGGAACCGTACATGTTTTATCAAAATGTGATTTCATTAAAATTTAAACTTTAAGCGCTTTAAAAAAAAAAATGACCATATTAGACCGAAATTTTTTTCTCCACTAATATTGTAATGCTCGTGATAAAAACCTTGCGTTAAAAAGACGAGCATTGCCGCCGGGCCAAAACACTTAACACCAAAAAAAAAATCCTAAAAGTTTCAAATGGTTAAAAATGACTTAACAATTGTGATCACGTTTTGAAAATCGTACCATGTCCGCGTAGAGAGCTGTACATAAAAACTAAACCTATATTTAATACTTATGTTTAGTGAAATATCCGGCCTCTATACGATTATTATCCACCGAGTTAGAACAAAAAATAAAAAATAAAAAAAAAAAACAAAATTAAATATAACAGAAACCCCGTTATTGATGCGTAAATATTATAGTTGTCCGACGGTTCTTCGGTGTTTTCCTTCGGCTGTAATTAAGACACGACATTTTCTACTTAAAACCCGTGATCATCAAAGTCGAAGATCGGAGCTAGATTTCTGGTAAAAAAAAGTTGTTCACATGCAGAAAAAGATAACAACAGCACACGATCATGTAGTAGAATCTAAAGTAAATATGAATGTTATAGATTGTAAGCAAAAAGTTAGCCTGCACAATAGTGTTGTTCGTGTTTTTGTTTTCGTTTTCAAGCCCTACCATGAGTTAGGTTGAGTTCAGTACTTGAAAGGTACGCTAATATTATTCAATTCCCGTAGTCCCCTTTTTTTTTATTTGTCCAATTCGAACATTGCGTGATGCACGCGAGTTTTAAATGAAAAATTCGATATACGATTCATGCAACTGCGCGGGAAATCAAACATAATTAAAAGATGTTCATTGATCCGATTGATCGAATCGTTAATTTACATCTTACTTCATGTTGATTTTAATAGGTTAGTTCAATCTGAAACACGGCGGCGGTGACACAACGAATAAAACGATTACCGGGGCAATATTATTAATGACGCGCCGAAGTTTTGTACGTTTTGTCTTGCGTGTCCCGCAATCGGCGGCTGTGGAGTTATTTCTCTCAATCTGTTTCAGTAAAATTGTAAAACAAATAATAGCACACACAACCCGGACCCAGAAGTAACAGCAGCTGTAACCAAGGGCGGAGTGGGAACCGAATTCAGGCCGGGACGTTAAAATTTATCCAGGTCACCCGATGATAAAATACTATCTACCAAACAAAATTCGTCTCACGTTTTAGCTTAAGTCTTAGTTGGGGAGAGCCAAATACGTTTTTACTTGAAGCATGGGCGAAGATAAGAGGGAGTGGGGGAGTTCCGACCCTCCACCGTTTTAGAAAAGTGATTACATCAATATGAATTTTTATTTAATAATTTAAACGGAAATATATATAAAAAATAAAAATCTAATAGATGCCGGATAATATAATATTATATATTGTGTGACTCGGCAAAACTTTTTACTAAGTTGTTAAATAATCCGTGGGATTAAAATATTATTTACACATATCGGGCCACCAGACCATCTGGAAAATTCCCATTTCCTGCAGACCGGCCGCTGCGCCCCTAGCCGTAACTAAAACGACTTATGTAGATGTTCCTGTACTTCGTCTTTTTCCGTCAACACATCTTATATGATCCAAGTGCCATACACTCACCAAGGCACCGACCCATGTAATTTGATCACAAAGCAGCAGCTGCTACATAGGATACCCGTTCGCACCACCACAGACAGTAAAATAGGTACCCTATACACGTTTCAGAAGAAACGCATCTAAGAAAACCTCCCCTTCATAAAAAAAAAAAAAATACTAAGCACCGTATTTATCATTTATGTTTTCGAAAATTTGACGGGACATAATAAATTATATTATATTTCAGGTAACAATTGAGGTTTGATTGAACACCAGAGCTAATGAACGTTTAAAAATCCGTAACTCGTGTCAAGGGTATGTACGACTACTGAAATACACAATAGAAAACCGTTAAAATCGGTTATTTAGTAGAGGTTAATTTTTTTGATTTATTCTTATTTTAACGGCGTAGTATATACGTATAAAATGACTGTACTACATAATGGGTACGCGTCTAAAAGCGTAATTGTACAGA